GGCCGGTTTCCAGCTTACAGCATCGACCTCCAATGCTACAACAAGCGTCACAACCAAGGGTGGGTAGTAGCGAAGTAGTTGTAGTTCGCTACTGTAGCGAACTACAATTTTCAAGTAGCCAGTAGTTTTTGACTACTTTTTTAAAACAGTAGCTGTAGTTATAGCGAACTACATTTTGCCTAAAAGTAGCCAAGTAGTTGACTACTTTTCAAACAGCAAATCGCTATTCGCTACTTTTAAAATTGTTAGCAACTTGATAGAATAGAATGTTATTAAGACACAGTTTGCTTAAAATCAATACTCAATTTGCACGAATAAAGTATGCCGTGCAACTGTTCAAACTGTGCAAGTGCATGCCGTCTTATTTACTCGCGTAAGTCGATTTGTTATAGGTTACATTACAGCCTGAGCTATAGCAGATGTTCCAAATACAGTAAAATTAAAAAATATTGAGTAGCGAAATAGCGAAATAGTTCGCTTCATTTTTTAAGCAGTAGCTGTAGTCAGTAGCGAACTACTTTTGTTCAAAAGTAGCAGTAGTTGTAGCTGACTACATATTTTTGAAGTAGCTGTAGTTATAGCGAACTACAAAAAAATTGTAGTCAACCCACCCTTGGTCACAACCAATGTTTTCATACGTGTCTACTTCGTCCTTGTTTTTCTGGTCCGCCATCTTGTCACCTTGGCCCAGTCCCTTCTAGCACGGCTCAGTCATTACATCCCATCCACCAGCAGGTGCCGCTAACTTCCATCCACCAGCAGGCGCCGCTAAATTCCATCCTCCAGCCGTCGACGCTCAATCCCATCCCACAGCCGCCCTTGACTCCCTTCTACCACTGAGCAGGGGCTAGTAAATCTTGTATTATTATACCACTGTTTTGCAGCTTATTGCCCGTTATTTCTTTAGCTCGTGTACCTGTAGGGGTTAATACCCCTGTGGCGGCCGTTACTCCACTCGTCCTTACCGAATTTTGGCGGGGGGCTAATCGGGTTTCCGACTAGAGCGGTTAGTCTGAGTTACGCTTGGGGGTTGGGAACGCCTTTGGAGGGGGTTCGTGCCTCGAATCCCTTCTCCAACTGCGCTGGAGGATGGCGTTGGAGAGGTGAATTCTCGGCATCATTGGGATTTGCCAATCCGGGATAGTCGTTGGTCGGTAGCTTGAGTACCTACTTGACAGCCAAATTAACTTCAGTTCGTGGTTACAGCCTTGCTAAACGTAGCGTGCATCCTCTCCAACAGAGCTATACCCTCCAAAGAACTGTCGTGCGTAGGTCGTGTGCTATTACTCTATATGCTCTTGCTATTTGTTCACTGAGTGATCGCATGTTAATAAAACAATTAGACCAATTTTTGCTTCAATATCACCCTTTTAAAGTGGAAAATATAGCAAAACAACAAAAATGCCGAGAACTTTGGTAATATTCGCAATACGCGTGACGTCACGTTTTTCAACAAGGTTGCGGCCAATAACGTCAGAAGTTTCCTATCCAGTTATTTTACAATCCATGGCAGCATCGAGGGTCCACAAAACATATTGTTTCTTGAAAGTCCCAGTCAACAAGTGTTAAATACCAGGACTACAGTAGAAAACAATTTTTGGTATCTACGAAGTGTTTTAAAGTATTTTCTTCGGGATTTAGGACATAGCGTCGATATAACCTCCAAGAACCATGTCCACACAAGAACACGGCAATAATGCTTCTCAAATTTTTGATGCAACTAAATACAAATCAGATAAACGTTGGACTAAATATCCCACTTCAAAACTCTCCCTTAGTCCTTGTCAATGTGAAAGTGCAATTTCCCAATCGCAAATATTTTCTAGCTTTGGATTTCGCTTCATACCGTAGACAGCGTACAATAATAAAGTTGGGTGCAATTTAATGGGTTGAAATAGAGAGGGGTGTTAATTGGAAAGGGCCTTCATGGAGGAATATCATTTTTAGTTCCCAAGCACTGCACGACCCCAGCTAATACTCATTATTTTCCCCAGCACGTACTGCATGATCCCAGTTATCTGTTCTAGCTCATACAAGAATTTCAAAATGTTTTATATATTACCCCATTGAGCACCAGCACTCTCCATTGAGGGGCACATGCAATGCAACTTAATGGGTTAACTACTAAATAAATCTTTTTCTCACCTCTACTGCCAATCGACACTCGGGACAGTTGATAGTATTGGACTTTGCATTGTTGGCCAATTTGACAATGCAGACATGACAATATGAATGTAGACAAGGTAAAACTTTGGGATCTTTAAATGGTTCCAAACAAACAGAGCAAGTCAAATGTTCCTCAATTTTACATCGAAGTGATTCAGCCATTTAACCACAGCTAAAACACAATAAGCATTATTTGCAATTATATAGGGCTAGAGCCCTACTAAGGATTTAAAGTAAACTAAGATCTTGGCGTATCATGTATGTAGTGAGGGAAAATGTTTCAAATGCTAAGAACTCTCACATAAACTGTTCTGGTAACTAACTGTACTGCATTTTGATAAATCTAGTGAGAATACCATTATCAGGATGAATTCATGTTTTTTTTTTATATTAATGTCATTCAGTTAGTAATACATTTAAAAAGATGAGCTAGATCTAGGCGCCCTTCATTTATAGTGGCATCAATTGTAGGGTTAGGCCAATGACGACTTGCAGACTAAATCTGTAAGCCAATCAGTGAAGCAAAAACACACAGAAGGTTGGCATCTTATCTTTGCCCAGGTATGATTTTGGAGTAACTGCTGCAATATACTGGACATCGCCATGTTCCTAGCCAGTACAATTATTAAACACATTCACCCCTCAAAATGGCAAACATTCAAGGGGTGAATACCTCTCATAAGAAGTACTGGCTAGGGACATAACAAGTGCATTTTGATGACAAATCATTGGGAATCATGGCGTGACAGTGGTTGCACTTTTTTGTCAACCTTTTGTGTCTCTATAAAGTCCAAGCACTTCTGCAACTCTTTATTACCATTTAATTGGGAGGAATCAATATTTTGTGCAACTCAAATGTAGTTGAAAACTACTTAATTTTGCATCTGGTGTAGTAGTAACAAATGAAAGCAACTGCTTCCGGGCTCCAAAATTAAAATATTCAATTCCTTCAAACCTCAGGATTTTGCCATGTTTCGTTTTCCTAAATATTTAATATTTCTTCCTGTAGGTATTGTCTCATGCTTCGCATTGATGTATATCTCATATTTTCCCATAAGAACTATATATTAGAGCTGTGCGGTTAACCGAAAAATTCGGTTCTTCCGGTACTTTTTTCAGCACCGAAAAACTATACGCAAAAAACCGGTAGTTTCGGTTTTAATTTCCCGTTTAACACCCACCTGATTGCAGGTTGAAATGTTTGGAAAATAACAAGATTGTGCTCTTTGTGCACAATATGCACTGTATTAAGTGCTCAAATAGTTGATATTTTAGTTGTGATAGTTATTTTTGTGAACTTGCTTTAAATTTTTTTAAAAACTAAGAAATATTACATCTTCATAAATAAATTCCAATTGTTCTTTTAAAATATTCAGAGATTTATACAAACTTACAAAGACATAAATTCATCTATTTAGTAAAAATGCTTGAAACATACATAAATAAGTTCATACATTTGTACTGTTCTTCTTTTTTGAAAATAACCGAAACCGAACCGAACCGAGGTTTTTTTGTTCCAAAAAAACCGAAACCGGAACCGAGATAAAATTTTTGGAACCGCACAGCTCTACTATATATATTTTAGGGGTTACGTGTCAATTGGGACGAGAGTCCTGTTCCTTTCCCCTGTCACGATTTGTCTAATCTGTCTTTATTTGTCTTTAATTAGTTTATATCATGTACATTTAAGTGCCAAATTCATTATATTATATATTATATTATTTATATATACCTACAATATTATACCTACAATATTATCCGCACATCTCCCCCCCCACCCCCGTTCCCCCACCCAACCCCCATGGATGAACTTTGTTGTATCTGTGGTTGAAATTATTTTATTAATCGACAGTAAATAAGTACTCTGTTGGAATCCACAGTAAATATGTAAACCCAAGGAATTTGGATATTAAATGGAACGACCCAATGTTTGCAAACAATACAAATGTGTACGCAATATAAAATATCTACAGGTTTTTACTTCTAACTAGTAGTAACGTTTATGCCAATGTAACTGCAGTACAACTCACCTTCTCATCAAAACATCAACAATTTTGTAGCAAAGACCATAGTTTATTTCATAAGATGATAAGACCACAAAACATTTTTAAAAAGTCTAAAAAACCAGAGCTTTGTTGAGTTTGTTCACAAAATGACAAAAGCATAGAAAAGTGTAAGTGTTTCCGCAACGCACCATTCAAATTTCCCAACCCAAATTTCCTTGATTTTGCATTGAAATTTCCTTTGAAATGAGAAGAAATGAGATGTAATTTCCTTGCAATTTCCTTGATTAACCGAGGTCGTATTTCTTCCGTTTAGAAATAATTTTAACATGCTCACTGGCAATAGAGTGATCTATATCATATCGTTTATATCATATCTTCTTCGGTTCACACGCTTCATGAATATTAATTTCATAATTAGTAACACACCTGAGTTTCGCCTAAAAATTTCAATTCAGGCTGCGGGTAGCAAGATTCTACTGACTTTATAACAAACATACTTGCAGACCTTGCAGGTTCGGTGAGTCCGGGATTGGACGCACCGAGGGTGGTCGGAATTTCCCGAACTCACCGAGCGAAGCGAGGTGGGTTCGGGAAACTTCCAGCCACACGAGGTGCGTTCAATCCCGCGAACCCTGCAAGAATGTTTGGTTTTTATCCCATACACATTTTACTAATATACTTAAAATCTTCGTATGCTGTTTTGCGACTCTAGCTCTTTGCGATATATTCGTTGATGTTTTGTCTCTTAATACTTCTTTGTCTACGTCTATAGATTACCTTTATTGCATTTTTTCTTTGGTTTTTCTTCAGTCTCAGTAGGTTAGTCACCGAAAAAAGTCTTCTTATAACATTACAGTAAAGTAATGCATTAAACAATACAAGAACACTCTAAAGTTTTCTATATTCTACATGTGACCCAGTTAGTACGGATTTACGGTGGAATATTAAAACTCATCATGCATAGATGCAATTGAATTATAATGTGACTCTTTCTCAACAGGAAAATGCCGGGCCTTGTGACGATTAAACATGCCAGTGAGGTACCAACAAATTCCAGTGCCACAGCATTCTTGCACCAGCTAGATGTCCTTAGACTAGCAGTTAGGGCCTCTGTAAGTGGAACCTGAGCAGCAAGCTTGAGGGTTATCATATGAGTAGTAATACCCCCCACTCTGGAGTTCAAAGGGATGCCGCCAATGCCGCTAATGACGTCACTTTGTTCGGCTAACAATCTGGCGGATTTTATAATGAGCTTGCAAAATCTATAACGCCAGGTAGCGCGACCAATTAACGCGGGCAGGTAGCAGCCGTAGCACGCGACCAAACACACATGTATTTTGATTGTTTTTTCGGGTGATTAAAACATGCTCTTGCGATAGCTCAGTTGGTAGAGCGGAGGACTGTAGTTCCTTAGGTCGTTGGTTCAAGCCCAACTCGCAAGATTTAAAAACAGGCGTTCTTTTTCGCGGGAAAATGTATATGTAGCTCGGAGCCTAATTCAAAATAACCGGAAACTTTGAAAGCCAAAAGCTTAGAGCTTAGTCTAAATAGCTCACGGAGCCTGGTTCGCGGAGCCGGTCCGTTCGAAGCATAGTCTTTAGTTGACAACGTTTAGTTCATGTCTACACGGTAAAGTTACTGCCTCTTCGACTATGAAAAATGGTACATTTTGATTCTGTGGGGAAAAAACTTTTAAAACAGTTGTAATATATTTTGTCATAAAAACATGTAGTCGTTATATACGTTGTTATGTGTTGCTAAGTCATTAGCGGCGCTTGGGTGCATGCATATATTAATGTACGACATAGTTGTACTCAGGCGGGCGGGTTGCGCGGATAGGAAAGATCGGGCTTTGCGGGCAAACATTTACACAAGATTTCAGTTTTAAAATTGCATTTATTTCTTCAAAACGTTTTACAAAATTTAGTACGATCTACTTCTCAGAGCATAACGTTTAGGTGTTTTTGTTATTGTTAAAGAGTTCTCATATTCTTGTCTATCTTCAGGTGATAATCGTGCAACATCTTCATGCTTCATTGGAATATATTTCGGTCTTTCGTTTAGTAAAAAACGTTCATAACGCTCTCTTTCCTTCGGTTTCATCATAGCCAGATCACTTTCTTTCCAATCAGTAGAATCTACCCAATTGTGAAAAAAGTTGTGCTTGAGTTTTGGTCGTTCCTCTTCTGTTGGTGGCGGTGTAAGGAAATTAGGTTTAGGAGTATCAGGTATTGGTGATGGTATTTCCGTTGGTACAGAAATAGGAGGTACTTGTGGTGGTATTTCCGCTGGTACAGGAGTAGTAGACACTAGTGGAGTTCTCTGAACAGGGGCTTCGTGATAGTGAGCCGGGACATCCATCTTATTTTTGAATGTCAGAAACCGGTTTAGCTGATCAGAATATAACTTGCTTTTTTCCACTGCGCTCAGCTGTGGCGCTTCTATGATTTCTTTCATTCTCTGTTCGGCATCATACATTGCATTTAATTGTGGTGGTTGTTGATACGACTGTTTTTGTATAAACTTTGCAATCTCGCCGGGAAGTACGTTGGTCTTGAGTCGTTGTTGGTCGTCTGTTGTTGGCTTTAAATCCAACATCAAGTATCCGTGAGGTCGGCTCGTTGCATCTTCATAACTCTTCATAAATTCTTGTACTTTACCAGGATCTACCTGCCTTGTAAGCATAGAAATTTGCTGTTTATCTCTTGGTGACTTGAACAACACGATATAATGAGCATTAAGGCTGATATTTCTCATTTCTTTGCCTTGATGAAATATATTTTGGACAATATAGATGATGGACAAATTACGGTGATGGCTTCCTTTGGTAAAAAGATCAGCAATACGTTTGTCTTTACTAGATTGTGCCATGAGATCGTCCAGTACGATCAAATTCCGTTGCGATACATCCAAGTAGCTGTGTTGTCAATCTCTTTTGGAATGCCTTTATTAAACTCGATTGCAGGAATCGCCCTCAGCATATCAAAATAGGAGGGTTGCCATTGACCATAACACCAGATAATACGTTGAGGAGCAGGACTTATGGTCGTCTGAGGATTCTCCAAGAGAGATTTTACCCATACAGTTTAATTTTGCCACTTTGTGTACACCCCGCTACGATGCGCGTAAAAGGATGCTGCATAACACTGGACCTATTGCCAATTACACTTAACCTTCTTTCATCTGTACTGGTGCTATGCATCTGTTTTTTGTGACGTAACGGTTACCAGGTGTTGAAAACGGTCTTCCACAGACTTCGCAGGGATAAGACATGTTTACAGGTTCACAATCAAATGTAAAATGAATTCGAAGTTTGTGTACCGTTCTATAAATAGTATTATGTGGTCAAACCAACATAAATAATCCTATGATATTCCAAGATACTGTATGATATCCTAAGGACACTTAAACGATAATGTTGATAAAAACAATGCGGAAGAACTTCTTCACTGCATTCTCACATCCACGGATATTCTCACATGGAATCTTCATCGTGGAACAAATATTGTAGATCTTTTGCAATATACTGTTTTACCATATAATACTGAAATTTCGGAACCGGCTGGACTGAATATATTTCTCAAAGGTCTTGCAAAATTGGAAATTGATAAAAGCCTAATCGTAAATGGGCGTGTCCTTACCATGCTAGCCCATAAGTGGTCCTACCAGGATAGACAGTCTGATAAATCCGAGGATGAGTCTGAAGACATGGACACAGTTTGTAACGGTTGTAACAAAGATCTAGACATCTCCCATTTGGCCACATGTCCTATATGCACATGGACAGACTTTTATCCAAAATGTATGAGGTGTCACTGTACGATCTGTGATTTTCGATTGTCCGAAGGAAATTTCACGCATGTAATCGCCTGTTGCCAACATTGTCATTGTGACGAAATTATGGATGTTAGTACGGATAAAAGACTTTTTTACCATAAAATAGGCGAACAAAGTGATATGTGATCAGTTTACTGTGTGAATTTGAACTGAACACATCAACATGGTGAGAGGTACGCTTGTTGTTGACACAAAACTATTGAAAGACCATTTCTTGAGACAGCAGCGTGGTGGGAATATCGCTGGGTTTTATGGTGCACGTATGCAAAGGGGATATGGGATCGGAAGCATTTTCAAGAGCCTTGCAAGATATGCTATCCCTCTATTCAAACAAGGAGCTAAAGTTGTTGGCAAAAGAGCATTACAAGCAGCCACAGAAGTTGGTCAAGATGTACTTCAAGGAAAAAATGTAAGAGAATCTGTAAAGGCTCACAGACGGAAAGTTGTTAAAGACTTTGTTGAGCAAGGAGCAAGGACTCTTCTGCGTCAAACAGGACATGGAAGCAAAAGAAGGCGAAGTCAACGCAGCAATCTATCATCAGTCAAGAAGCAAAAACTGGAAGAAGATCCAAGACGTCCCAAATGGATTGGGAAAGATGAAAGCGACTGCGATGATGAAAGCAGCCACGACGATGAATCTGAAAGCGAAACATCTCAAACAAGTGACGATTAGAAGCATAAAAATAACAAAAACACCTAAACGTTATGCTCTGAGAAGTAGACCGTACTAAATTTTGTAAAACGTTTTGAAGAAATAAATGCAATTTTAAAACTGAAATCGTGTGTAAATGTTTGCCCGCAAAGCCCGATCTTTCCTATCCGCGCAACCCGCCCGCCTGAGTACAACTATGTCGTACATTAATATATTCATGCACCCAAGCGCCGCTAATGACTTAGCAACACATAACAACGTGTATAACGACTACATGTTTTTATGACAAAATATATTACAACTGTTTTAAAAGATTTTTCCCCACAGAATCAAAATGTACCATTTTTCATAGTCGAAGAGGCAGTAACTTTACCGCGTAGACATGAACTAAACGTTGTCAACTAAAGACTATGCTTCGAACGGACCGGCTCCGCGAACCAGGCTCCGTGAGCTATTTAGACTAAGCTCTAAGCTTTTGGCTTTCAAAGTTTCCGGTTATTTTGAATTAGGCTCCGAGCTACATATACATTTTCCCGCGAAAAAGAACGCCTGTTTTTAAATCTTGCGAGTTGGGCTTGAACCAACGACCTAAGGAACTACAGTCCTCCGCTCTACCAACTGAGCTATCGCAAGAGCATGTTTTAATCACCCGAAAAAACAATCAAAATACATGTGTGTTTGGTCGCGCTACCTGTCACAGTTGGTCCAGGCCTGCCCGCGTTAATTGGTCGCGCTACCTGGCGTTATAGATTTTGCAAGCTCATTATAAAATCCGCCAGATTGTTAGCCGAACAAAGTGACGTCATTAGCGGCATCCCTTTGAACTCCAGAGTGGGGGGTATTACTACTCATATGCAATTCAAAAGTCATGGGCGTACGAGAGGGGAGGGGGCTGGTTGGGCTGCAGCCAATAATTTGTGGAGTTGGGCAATTTCACGAACGTCCCCCGTACGCCTATATTGAAAGTGTTATTAATATTGCAGAGCAACTAACCCTCACGAAAGAGCAACACAACAAAAAGCATAACTTGTTGCTTTGGCATATGATCGATTATTAGTTTGATTTATTAATAGGGTTTCCTAATGGTGCCAAACTTTTTCAAAAAGGAAGAACTAGAACCAGTTTTAAAAGGCATTGAAGGTTTGGTTGATATACTTGCAGAAAAACTTCATCAAGCTGGAAAAATTAAAGGTGCAAGCATTAAATATGACAGTATAATTTTAAGGCGTATTGCTTTTCAGTTTTTCACTGCAGTCAAATCTGAGTTCTGGTCATGAATTCAACTTTGAATTTGAAATATTGTAACCATTTGCTACACTTCGATTAAATTAAAACAGGAAATGGTCTAAATTAGCCAAGAGACGGAATACTTGTCAACTGCATTAATTAAACCGCAGGGTGACAATTAAACCGCATCCAATTGCCGATTTTTAATACACGAAATAGTGAAAACAATTACAGAAAACAAAATAAAAATCATATGTCTAAACGTTTTTAAATCTTATAGACTTCTAAGAAAATACTAAGAAAAAATGACAGAATAATATTTTGGTCAAAATGACCAACCATGCAGCAACAATGTAACCAAAACCCTGCACGTGCACAGCTTTAAAGACCGTTTCCATTCCAAGCGTATCGTAACGTAACGTAACGTAACGTAACGTAACGTAACGTAGCGTAGCATTTTATTTTGTGTGATTCGGTCCTCCCTAGTGCTCAGGAAACAAAGAAATATGCAACGCTTCGGTACGATACGGTGGAAGTGGAAAACGGCCTTATTTGGGTGTCATTTTGTATACGTGCGATAATGAATATCTCCACTGCTATATTCTTGCCTGGACGTTGGGGATGATCTGGTATTGCGGCGTTATCTTGCATGGGATGTACTTTATCAAATACGACGAGCGGAGCTAAATTGTCCTGTGAACATTTAATAACTGAATCGTTGACTAATGACAGTTTTAATTATGTTACAGTGTATCGTAGCTTGCTTGATAAATCAGTAAGCAGTCAGCAGTACACATGCATGTTCCTTGTTGTGGAGGGATTAATGGGGGTGAGGGACAGGGGTTGGAGTGGCTAATTTGAGAGGGAGGCTAAATAGAGGATTTACTGTGTGTATATAAATACCGTTTTATAAATATAAAATTTCTTTGCTATTAATATTTTTTGTTGTTTGTGTAACTGAAACCCGTTCTGTTTTAGATAAGTATGAGAATGCACCAGTCTTCAAAAGATTGACTTTAATTGATAATGAGTTTTCTGGAGCTGCTGTTTTATTGCATAAGTTTGCTGTTATGATTAAGGTACTGTATATAAGTAATGGAATAGCGCATGCTGTCCATTTCGTCTTATTGGTTATTGCCGGACAACTGTATGAATGAACTGAACGAATATCATATTTGTGTGAACCTGAAACTGATTTTAGTTGTTATGAAGAAAGCGGTCACAGGAAAACGGTGGCATAGCTTCCGTTTTAATTGTGGGCCATGCTCACTATTTTTCTGCATGTCATAACATATAAACTATGAATCGGCCGGAAGTGAGTATTATAAATCATGCAATGGATAACTGTGGTAGTGTGGCATAGATGCTGTCTTTTAACAGAAAATGAATTGTTAGCTGGTATACAACATGCATACAGTATAAACGGTATCTTGATATATATACAATTTTCTTTAAAAATTAGTTATTTTTATATAATTTAGTGCAGTGGCGTAACGTTATATCAGGGGGCCCCCGGTTCAAAATTTTCGAAGGCCCCCCTAGTAGAAGTGCCAAAGGCACGAGTCGAGCGCCGTATATGCACGAATTTTCTAGGGGGTCCAGGGCATGCTCATCCGGAAAATTTTTGAATTTAGACTCTCTGAAATGCCATTTCCTGGACTTTGGGGAGAGATTTTACAGAATTCTGATGGTCATAAAACGACATTGTAACATATCAGAGGCCCTGACCAATGTTTTTGCTCTATCGCCTAAGCCTGAGGGCCCCCATTTAGGTTGGGGGCCCCCGGATTCTCCCAGTCTGAGCCCATAGTAGTTACGCCACTGATTTAGTGTGATCTCATCTCATCTTATAGGTATAATGAATTAGAAGAAAATGAAATTGCATTGTTATGGATAGTAATTATAACCGTTATATATAACGTCTTACCTCCGCAGGAGATTGCAGACCTTTGGACGAATGAAAGGCTTTTGAATGTTGTTGAGCAGTTTATAGGACCAGAGATTGCAGGTCATCCAGTCTGGAATATAAGGACTAAGGTTAGTCCGTTAGTGTGCTAAACCATCTGCGAGTTTTAGTTAGTCCAAAAGTTAATCCCACAGCCACTTAGCCTGCGCGGTATAGACATACGCAAGCTACAGCCTACTGCCCAAGCAACCGCCAAGGCGTTTTAATTCTTTCTCGGCTTTTTTACTCCCTTGTGTTTTACTTTGACTAATGCCAGACCGTTTTACTCTCGTTCATCATTGTCTGGTAATCGAAGTGTTTAGAGGGTCATCGACAAAACGATTTTTTGTGCTGCGATTGAAAACTTGTTTGACCATTGTTATAACCCTCTCATCAGACAGATTTAGAAAGGACGAAGAGGCAAACACGACGACGCGATCTCAATTTCAGCTCAAGATTGAGAGCTAAGGAACTTGATTACTGCAATGAATCGAAGCTTTTTAAAATAACCGGCTCACGCACGGCTAAGTTCGAAAAAAAAAATTATTCGGTGTCTGCTATATGCGACAGATTTTATGTAACTCTTCCAATGTCGCAACAAGCATTCACGTTGCTCCAATGACGTGAAAATCTTAGTTTAACGTCCAGAGGATAGATCACACATTATTCAAACTTTTTATTTTGCATGAAGAATTTCTTTGTTTCAAAGGCGACGTCTTTCAGTTCGCATCGTGTTTTCTAAATCAGTCTATTACCCTATCGTGCGCCCACCAGAAAAATATCTCATTGTTCTATAAAGTTGATTATTTTTTTAAAATTCTTTGTTTACTTTTCCCTCTCCCACCTCGGCGCATGTCCAAGATGAGTGTAAGCAGTATTCCACCCAATCTCGTACCCAGAGCAATGCCTGTGTGCGGGCTAGGATGGCATTGGCTCTGGGGAAATTGACAACCGGAACCCCTAAATTTAGGGATTCCAGTTCTTTGTTGACATGCACGATTGATAAACGTTAAACCAATCACAGCACAGGAAAAATTCAATTTCCCCAGAGCCAATGCCATCCTAACCCGCGCACAGGCACTGCTCTGGGTACGAGATTGTATTCCACCACATAAGCTGCCATGAACTACCGTCATGCATGACCAGAAAAGGATTAGAAACGCTTTCGTGAAATCTAAATTTCCCAACGGTCCTTGATATGGACAAATTTGCATTACACAGATACCGAGAAATGAACAAGTTACTGTTCCTTGGCATCAAGGTATGTTCCTAAACATCGTCATAATCATTGTCGTTCTTGAGGAATTTCATCCCGTTTGCAATCTTTGTATAAGATGTGTTTTGTCCGTCTCTTAAGAACTTTGTTTGCATGCCTGTAGATTTAATATTTGTTGAGGTAGTCAATCTTTTATTTTTGTAGAAGTTAGTCAAGCCCCGGGAGTCTGACGTCTGCCAAGCTGACTAATTAAAACTAGTAGCCTGGGACGAAAATAGGTGTCGAAAGGAAATTCCAGGTGTGCAGCTCAGGGACAGATCTTCTTCCACCTCCCCCTTCCTCTCCCAATGATTAATGCAGAACTTCAACCTCGTACCCAGGCTCTTTCCACTACGCGCCCCAGAACTTTACTCTGAAAATTTCTTTTCACAATCAAATTTTTCGCAACTGATAAATGACTGATGAATAATAGTTTTGGAATTGGCATTAAGTAATTCTTGCGCGCAGTCTCATAGCATCGTCGAACGATGTAGGAAGCGCGGGCTAGTAATTCTAGGCTTCGATAAGTCATATTTATGTAAAGCTAAGCTACTTATGACAGTCATAAGTAGCTCCACATGACTTTTGGAGTTGTTAGCCAGATTTAGATAACTATCCCAACTTCCTTCACATGATTTTTGTAGTTGGCTGTAACTCCAAAATGTTTTATTCAACTAAATTTTGAAGCACACATTTTGAATTTGGAGTCATGCAACTAAACTCTAAGAATATGAATTTGGTGTCTTGCAGATAGTGCGTATTTGTCTCCTGAAGCCTGCGAGGTATTACAACCAACAGTTTGGATTCCTTTACTTGATGCAAATAAGGAGAACGGTTGTATGGAGGTGAGGACTGGAAATCTCGTTCAGTCACCGAATTTGAGATTTTAAAATGACATCTTATACGCATAAATCACCGGCTTAAAACAGCATTACTTACTGTGATTTTGATCCAGGTATATCCGTCCGGCATCATGTTAGCAAAATAAAGCCATATGGTTGACTGTTTTCCTCATCAACGTTTTATTCATACAGGTAGCGCGATATGGTCACAAAAGTGGAGTTCTTGCCAAACACACGTGTTGTGCTGGGCCAACGTGGTACGTTGATCTCGATGAGAATGAGATGCAGACAACTTTAGGTAGGGTTTATATATTGCAAATTTCATCTGCTGATAGTTGCGCTCATATAGTAATTGTGTAGTACATAACATTATCTCATACCTAGCGTATTAGCGGCTTTCCTATTGGCTACGAGGAGGTGCGTTCAATCTCGAACCCACCCACTTAGGAGGTGGGTTCGAGATCGATGTTTCGGCGGCGGCCATTATGAAGCGATTTGAACAAGTTTCCGACGAAGATTTAAATAAAAAATAAATTAACTGTTTTTAATTGTTTTATAATTATTATTTTTTTTATTTTGTTTGATGAAAATGGAATATTAATTCTGTATTCAAAGTGAAAGAGAAGAAAGATGGCCGCCGAAATTTGTTCGGCACGGACAGGTTTGGCAATGTTTTCGCAGAATGCGTGCATTTTCTCTTTTCAAGAATAAAGGAATATTGTAGAGAATTGTTTTAGCTTCAATTTAAGCCTAAGTTTGTTTGTTTGCAGAGTATGTTGGCGGCTAAAATGTTCGTTATCCAAACAAGAAATTATATACTAAAATGCGTAAATTCTTTATTACTTTTTACCGAAATGGCATGTGATAAAAACCAAACATACTTACAGGTTCGGTGAGTTCGGGATTGGCTGGAAGTTTCAAGAACCCCCCTCGGTTCGCTCGGTGAGTTCGGGAAACTTCCAGCCACCCTCGGTGCGTCCAATCCCGGACTCACCGAACCTGCAAGTATGTTTGGTATAGAACATTCAGGCGAATATTTATATATTATCAAATTGTGAGTCACTTTATTTTCGTGGAAACCGAAACTATGTTAAATTAATTAAAGTGTTTTCATTGGAAGCTAGTTTTATACAATTTATTATCTTCGTTAAGACTTAACGCTTGTCTTGGATTAGGACGTGCAGTTTTTCGGGTCTATTACTGAATCATCCTCACTCGCATGCATCTTCGTATTTTAAGGCCATATCTTTATACACATATTACACAAAGCAATTTTTGCTGCAGCTTGCAACGCAATTTTTGGCACAAATTCATGTTATGTAAAACCTATTTATTTATACAGTAAAATTACCCACGGCGTTTTACTCCGCCCGCCGTTTCTTCACCTAACCAATGATACTAAAAAGGTATGGAAGAAGTGAATGAGAATGAAAAATAGCAGAAACGTGAGAAGCAGCTGCCCTTGCTCACTGATTTACGGTTAATACTTTTTGAACTTAACGCCAAAATTGCGTAACCAAGTTGCAGCAAAAATTGCCTCGTGTAACATGGCTTTTTAGATCCGGACTATCGGGCCAATGAGTTTAATAAAGCTACGTCTGTGGCTACTTTTACACACAACGATGAATCGGGCAGATCTCAGGTTTTTGCCAAATGTTAATGACGAATGTTGTCTGCAGATGACGATGTCACAGAATAGAAAATAAACCAGATGCCTCATTGTACACCTTTCCCTAACATTTTCGAATTTGTGTCCGCGATTTTCGCCTTGCGGATCACAAATTGTGCATGCTAGATGACGTGTGTGACACTTGCTGCGAACATCACGTCAGCGTTCGTCAGCGTCAATCTGGCGCATAGATATCTTATATACACTAGATAGTGCATCTAATTATTCTGCAATTCAAAATTGAAGCCGTGATTGCAGTCTCAGGTCGTTCCAATGAAATGAGAAGATTCGTGTGTTTTCTATTTCTTAAACAGGGAACTTAAACATTAAGTTAACCCTATTCCAAATACGTTTTTAAACTATTCAAATGATGAAAGTTATTGTTGTTTTTAAGCGTTCATTAACAAGTGGGAACGACCAACCTGGCCACCATCTATTCAAATGGCGGTAACCGCTGGAATATTCTTGCCTTCAATTTTTCTAAAAGAGATACGCTATCTATAGTGTATATAAGATATCTATGATCTGGCGTCAATTCCTCAAATCAACGGTTTTTCTTGCAATTCACAAAACATGCTCAAAGTGTACGCTGCATATTCTGCAATTATGGTGTACTAATATTTTACGCTTTTGTTTTTCAAGTCTTGTCTTCCTGTTGCGATGATGGGTTATTTGGACCTGTGGCATTAAAAACGGTTAAAACGGCGATCTTTGACAAGTGATGGCGTATTACTCGCGTTTGATGTCGTCGTGATTACACTTGCTGGCTCGCGCCTGCCCATGAAAAATCTCGGACATAATTTTGGCTAAGTGGACCTTCTGGTGTATTTTCTATTCTGTGACGATGATTTTTTTCAGATGACGTTGACAGCGTATTGAATCGGCCCCGATTAATCGTTGTGTGTAAACGTTGTTGATCAGTTTTATGGATTTTTAGGCGTTGATATGGAGAAAGATATCGTTTTATGCGAAGTACCGTTTGGGGGTGTTCTCTTCATCAATAATATGATCCCACATAGAAGGTACTACATATGCACTTTTGCAAGTACACAAATATAAAATTTATAAGTAATAGTAGCCAAGGAAATATGGGCGTTAACCCAAGGCAATCGCTAATTTCCAGAAAAGTCATAACACTACGATTGTCGAGGAGAACTTTGTGACCGGTGTGAACGCCCCCCCCCCCCCCCC